GGATGACATCGTATGCCTGGCCTTCGACTGAAACATGGATGGAAAACGAATAGCTGGATGAGGTTGTACAAAGGGGAAAACAAGAGCTTGTGACCAATCATACAGCCAGCTAAAAATGTGATGCTGAATACCTACGTTCCAATTGCAACAACAATAATAACAATGTGGGCATTAGATCAGTTGTAGGATTTCATCATGAGCTAACATCAGTTAGAGAACCACTGGAAAACCACTATGATGTACTGAACAGATGATTCGTAAGCTCAGTTTAAGACTCTCTATCAGTAAGCACTCACCCGTCGGGTTTTGAAACCAGGACCTTCTAGTTACAAAGGGAACTCGTAGACCAGGTTGAAGGTGAGGTAGTAACTCATCGAAGAAGACATTCCGAAGTGTTCACGACAAATGTTATGAATTAACAGAAGTTAGAATTCATGTACTGGGCATTGGATTGGGTCCCAGTGAGTGGCCTAATGGCCTACCAATTCTCTGGCCTTGTAAACAGAAGGTCCTTGGTTCGAACCCCGGTGGATGAGTGCGTACTGATGATAAACCCCAAATTAGGCTGATGAGGCGGATGTACAGTACTCCCAGGTGGTTTCCAGTGGTTCTCTAACAGATGTCAGCTCATAATGAAATCCTCCAAACAATCAAGCGAAAAATCCCTACAAAACCAAAACTTGAAAAATGTTGATATTCATTTCAGAAGCATATAGTTATAAAGAGTTAGACTCTGGTGGCACAAGGCTGAAACAGGCAATAATTATACTAAACAATGTCTTCAGATTATCTCCAGATACTGTAACTAAGATGTAATAATATTCTTAAGTAGATAATAGGGCTAATTAACAGACAAATTTACCTATGTAAAATTCACAACACTACTTCAAAAAACACAGAACGGAACACAGTGATTCTTGTTCTTGCGTTTTGCGCTGAAGAACAATAATTAAATCTTTCATTGTTCATAAAACGCAATGAACAATGATGAGTGAAAAATAGTCTTTGTTCCAGATATTCAAGAACAAATAAGCATCTTATCTTTTTCTCTCCACTACTGTGTCTATGTAAGAACATGTAGTTTGGATTTGCTATAGATTCACCATAGGAACGACATATTGTTAGTTGGTTCTAAAACTGAGGTATAAATAGACACCCCAATAAATCTGATAGAGGCTCAATTAATACACTGTGCAGCTGCTCATAAAATAGTCTCATACGTATTTTATAACACCATGAATTATCATCTAGTTCGTTTAACTTTGAAGATGCTACTAATATGTATTACTGGTAAGTAATGATGTTTACTAATAGTCTTAGTATCTTTGACACCGAAAGTATGCGCCGATTATACACCTTCGCAGGATGTAGATCCACTAGATAATGGCGATGATGATGATGTGAATATCTGTCCATTGAAAAAGTGAGTTATTTATGTGTGTTATATATTTGTAAATTAACAAATTAAACTCCCATACTTCAACAATCATGGACAGTAGTCTGTTTCCTGGATATTACAATGACCAGGAGAGATGATGGAACGATCCAGCGATCCATTTTTCGTAAACAGACATGGAGTCGATAATTTCTTCATTTCACAAGTTTTGTTCCTATCCAGCGTAAAAGTTCCACATTGAAATATTTGTTCTCAAGGGCCCGAAAATTATATACGAGTGATACATTGATGGAGGAGTTTCGACATATACATTCAGTTTTATTAGCTAATGGCTATGCGGAGAACTTTATCACTTGTCACAGTGAAGAAAAACCACATCTCGAAAAGACAGCTTCTGTACCTACCATTCAAGTGCGACCAGATTATGCAGTTGACAGCTCAAAGACTTCGGTCGGCTATCAAACGCACATTCTACGCCGCCGCATCTCTTCTTCTCACTTGCCGAGCATTTCCGATTCCTGTATTTACGAGTAAAGGACGAAATTCTCTGGACTCTACTTGAAACGGTATATACAAGTTCACCTGCAGCTGTGGTAACACACACCTATATAGGTGGAACCAACAGAATTTTCCAATGTCGTCGAAAAGAACATGTTCTGAAATGGCTACTAAATCATATAGAAAATCCCAATGCGATTAATCTGAATAGAAATCCGACATCATCATCATCCATTGCAAAACATTTATTAATGTCTGGTCACAAAATAAATATTAATGACTGTTTCACAATTATTTCACATAACGCTAATTCAAGGTTATTGAAGGTGATGGATGCACTTTGGATAAATCACATACAGCCTAAACTGTGTGTACAAAAATCAATAGACTTCAGTCTTCGCCTACCATGGACTACATGTCCTATTTAAATATGATTGGTCATTAGTATGTACTTTTGTTTTTATTTAACTGAGTAATTGTCATGAGATTTATTTTATTGTTGTTAACCATGTTAGTTGTAAAGCAGTTGTAAAGAAACTACGAAATGAAGATATCATCTCGCGAAATTTGTCTTCTTAATGCCTTATTCAAATTTATCGGAGGAAATAATTGTTTTATATAATTATTTATAAATGCGATTGTTCAGCTAAGGGAATGAATTCGCCGAAAAGACTCTTCGCTGATCTGTTTGTCCTAATATTCACATCCTATACTAGATATATTCATGTGATAGAGCGGCACACACCGATAACATTAAATTGGTGTCAGATAAGATATAATATTGTATTGTCCAAGTCTTTTCCTTGAAGTTATGATATATGATTATTGGTGTGCAGAATTTTACTGGTCCACGTGTAATCAAAAACAAAATCTCCTCCTTAATTGTGTTAATAATTTTTATATTCGTTTATACCATAAGGAATTCACTAAAAATTATGAACCTAAACAATTCGCGTAGATATAATTTAAGTGCTATTGGTATTATATATCATAAAGCTGTTTCTTGTTTAGATAAAGGAGATCGATTCATTCGATATGTCTTCCTGGACTAAACATCCGCTTTTGATAAATAATCTTTCCTTGACACAAACCAAATCCTGGGCTGCTAACTGTTTACAGTCTTATTGCTATGACAATTGCACCATACTGTATATGAAGACAAATCATCCTCTGGCTTGCTTATTGAGGTTGGATACCGTTAAAGTGCTGTTCTCTCTCCCCTTCTCTTTTCATTCTGCTTACATGACTTCCCAGTTTCGGAAGAAATCAACTTTGTTAAATACTCTGGTGATCTTACTGTCTCGTTGCCAGTTACTTTGAGATCTAACTGTTCCAAACTGAATATCTTTTTGTCAGACATCAACCAGTAGTCTAAGTTAAATGGTCTTATGTTAAATACCTCCAAATGTCACCCAGTTAACTTCTCACTCATGCATAAAAGTGTGCGTTGGTGGCACAGTGGTTAGGACTCTCGCCGACCATGCACATGGTCCGGGGTTCGAGCCCACGCCGGCGCACACCTGATATCTATGGTCGGCCTACGAAATTTGGGCTACCGATATCCATGCTGAAAATTCCATACTTGTACCAAAAATACAGTGTGGAATCAAGCTGTAAATCTAAAACAAAATTAACGTGAACTTGTTTGTTCACATGATGTTGATAGCATAGAGGGCATTAAAACAGGAAGTAAGTCAAGCAATAAATAATTTAGAGTCGTTCTTTCCTCTGACCTTTTTGGTCATTCCGTATCTTGTCGATTTCTAAGAAAATGTTCTGAGTAACCTTCCACATTAGGGAGTTAAGACACTCAGCAATCACTCAAACCCTAGTTTCAAAATTTGTTGACTTTTGCATCTTACCCATTTTTCTTAATTATCTTCCACCCACTAAGTGTCTCCTGGGCTACTCAGGAAGGATTGTTTCATATTGCTAAGAGTATAAGAGGTTGTTGTGTGACAATAAGTCAGCTTGTTGCTATTGTAGATAGAGAGCTAAACTCACACGAAAAATAGTCTAAATCCACATTATCTGACCTTAAACACCTCTGTGTTACCACTATCACCCCGTCTTAAATTTCATCAGGTAGGTGGGACTAGAAGTTATTATAAAAGATTATATGCTCGCTCAACTAAGTGCATAAACTCAACGATATCTTACTTATCAAGTATTGGTTTTGTAGGGATTTTTTGTTTGATTGGTTGAAGGATTTCTTCATTAGCTGACATCTGTTACAGAACACTTGGAAAACCTGGGATTACTGGACAGCTGTTTCAACCTAGTTTGAGACTCTTCACCAGTACGCAGCCCCCACCAGGGTTCGAACCCAGGACCTGCTGGTCACAGGGCCAGAGAGTTCGTTGACCATTAAACCACGGGGACCCAATCCAATGGCCAGGACATGAATTCTAACTTTTGCTAATTCATGACATATGGTGCGACCATTTTGCAATGTCTTCTTCAATGAGTTACTGCGTCATTTTCAACCTGCCACACCCTACTGGTGACGACTTCCCAAACTAAGACGAAATAGCCGTCCAGTACTCTCGGCTGGTTTTCCAATGGTTCTCTAACCTATGTCAGCTCATGATGAAATCCTCCAACCAATACCCTACTTAGCCTGAGTGCGTTCTTTGTGATAGAGAAAGTTGTGAGTGTACAACTTATAAGCTTCTCTGTAATTATCGAAATAAACGGCTCTTTTATTTCTCCTGTTTGTAATTGAAGGGTTATTATTTCAATTACCTTATAATCTTAGCTATTAATATTGTCATTAGACATTTTTGAGTTTATTGTTACTGTTAACGATGAAAACGTTGCCAGTATCAATTTTAAATGCAATATTCTAGCAAATGCTGAGAAGTCCATGCCGTATCTTAATTACTGTTTTGAAATAAAGTTAATTATTATAAAAGTATTGCAAGTTTTTTTGTAAAGCAAAACACTATATAATGTATTTTAAATTATGATTATTATTAATAATTTTTAGGAATAATGAGAAACACATGACTAAGTAATCAAGCATAGTGTTCTCATTAACAGATAAAAATGACAGGGAGTATATGTCACCTTTGCTTCTGTATTCACTGAGTGATACACTGTTTAGTTAAATGTGTAATGGAAGGGTAAAATTGTGACTACTCCAATCTGTGATAAGTTTGCTTCCATAGGCAATTCCATTAGCACAAACTGAAAGTGAAATAAGACAGAATCATAAATATAACTACGATTAAATGTACATAATCATATCAACAAGAATTATTCAGTTATTTATTGAGTTTTTTGGTTTTGATGAATTGAAATTAGAATGCTTTTTTGACTGTATAATGTAACAGAAGAGGTGATCTTTTGGACGGATGACAAAGTATCATTATTTGATGATGTAAGACAGTTGGATGCAATCGGCCACAGGAATCCTTGGACCTAGTTTTCATGCTAGTTGGCACTCGTCAGGAAGGCGTATCTGCAACCCTGAAGAAATTCATATCTCTCCTGAGATTTAAACCCGCGTCACCTGTGCTGCTGTCAGAGATGTTACCACTGAGCTAATAAGGATCGTGATTGTGCTCGTATTGGACTGTAGTGGGTATTTCGATAGGACATTCGTAACTAGTGTGACATGTCTAGTCCTGTCTTTGGTGCAGACTGAATTTGATCAGTCAGGTTTGCAATGTAGCCTCCATTCTAGGTAGCTTGCCATCACAGTGCACATCAATCATGAGGCCGAATAGCTCAGTGGTAATGTCTATGGCTGCAGCGCTGGATGACGCGGGTTCGAATCTCAGAAAGGAGATGACTTCGTTCAACGTTGCAGACACGCCTTGCTAACGAGTGCCAACTAGCACGAAACTAGGTCCAGGGCTTCCTGCCGATTGCTTCCAAATATTTAATATCATCAAATCAATGTGCACCATGACGACGAGCTACCTAGAATGGAGGTCACATTGCAAACTTGACTGATAGAATTAAGTCTGCACTAAAGAACGGACTAGACACAACGCACTAGTTACTAGTGTCGAATCATAGTACCATTATGACGGAAAATTAGTTGGAAAATCCCTCCTAAAAGACCTAAGCACAATATTTATACTTTTTGGGTGTTTCAACTAAATTTAAAATAATCATCCTTTTTTCTCTAGAATTTATATCGTTATTTCAACATTTCTATATCCTGTGTTGATTCAGTCCTTATTGTCTTCGTCCTTGTCTATTCGCTTTTTTAATGCTTCTGTTATGATCTTGTGATACGTTGATAATATTTTGTTTCACGGTGTGATTTGTTTGAATGAATAAGGATCATTCTGACCAAGGATTTTATTGTCTGCTGCTTGTTGATTGACTTTTTGATTCCTTCTTTCTGGGAATATTCCGCAATACTCTAAGTAGTGGTTTGCACTTATAAAATTAGCTGGGCTGTATAGCTGCGTAACGGTACTGCTGAGAATCATAGACTCCAGCAAATGATAGTCTGATATTTTTGCTGTCTTTGGAGCATTTTGTAACTGTACATTTCTCAGGGAGGTTTCAGACAGCTATACAGTGGAACGCGAAGATCGATTCCCTCCATTCAAACCACGAAGTGTCGGTTTCCGGCAGCCGAAATCATTCTAATGTTAGATGTCGTCATAATCATTCCGAATGTAAGCATTCATCAGTCAAACACCATGATACCACTTAGAACCGAAAATTGTTGAATAGAAGTTACTGCATTTAAATTACCTTGTCATCTTATAACATGTGCGAATTAGTTGGCTACATACAGAAGTTTTGCAACGTAGATCTGTGGCCAAGAATATAAACTCGGTTAACTATAGAGAAGCTAGTACTTTAAACTTTGCTGAATGCAAAGAATTCTATCAAGTCAATCGCTTCAGTGTACAGTCTTTCTTACAAATTCAGAGTAAGCGTTTAAAGTAATCGATCACCTAGTGGGTAAATGGGTTCGTGATGTTGGACAGACTCAAACTGGAATGAAATAACTGCCAGTACTCTGTGGTTATCAGGTATTCTTTATTGATCAAACTTGAAATCGGTTGTGTCCCTGCCAACCAACGTTTGAGAATTAATACACTGCTCATAGGTGAATGAATGCAGGATGAGGTTGGCTGAAGTTCTAGTGCGACGTTGTGACCACATGGGTTCAATAATCTGTGAGTAATGAGAGATGCTCGTGGATAACACTGGTTGCACATCCTAATTGGCAGCTCATTGAATTCCGTACCAGTATGGCTGAATGGTCAACAAACTTGGCCCTGGTGTCGTACAGCTTAAGTGTTCAACACCTGGACAAAAAGGACTACAAGACTCCCTGGGTTTTAGCACTTCTCTAAAAGAAGTCGTATGCGTGATCAGAATTGAGCCAGTCGAATCCCAGCAGTATAACGCTTCGATAGTTATCATAATTCCTCTTATTTTTATTATGAACTTTCTGCGCGGAGCCCATATTTGTACAGCTTTCTTTTATCTACAGGCCTATAATACTTCTTTCGAAGATTTATATCTGTTATCGCAAAATGCCAAAAAGCCTGTCTGTTACACGTTACTTATTTAATAATTTAGTAGTAAGTGAAAGCATTTAAAATATTACTTACTTTTCCATATTAGTTTGATCATTAAATGTATCACACAGTGAAACAGTATTGTATACTGGATGACGTTTCGAACACAATTTATTGTTCATAATCATATCAATTTTTGTCACACGACTTCGAGATTTGATTTTTATAGTTTTCTCTGTCTTCTCCTATTTGTTGTATGGGCAGTAGAATTTTCCATATATCTGGGACAGGTGTTGAATCATTCCTATTACATGTATTTGCAGTTGATTCGATAAACAAAGCTTCTGTTATCAATCTCTCCCTATACCCTGTGACATTAGATTCTAAAACTGTCATCCTCTCCCATCCTATTGTATGGTTGTGTGTAACTGAATGTAGTGCTATAGCTGAACTACTCTCTAGATTTCTTATCTTATTCGGGTCAACCAATCTAGATTTAGCTAGGTTTTTATGTTCGGCTAGTCTGACTGCCCCTGTTCTACTAGTTTGACCTATGTATTTGACCTCACAATCATTGCAGGGTATTAGACAAACTAAATTGTTTTGTTTTAATGGCTCTACAGGATCCTTTAACCGACAAAGCTTGTTTCTAATTGAGTTTGTGGGTTTGAATGCCACTTTTATTCCTGCCTTGTTAAGAATTCTGCGTAAGGCTTCCGAGGTTCCTTCTTTGTATGGAATTATTGTTGATGATTTACATTCCTTATTGTTGGTGTCGTTATTAATATTATTATTATCACTATTATTATTACCATTACTATTATTATAATTGTTATTATTATTATTGTTATCATTATTATTATTATTATCACTATCTCTGTTATCATTATTTATTTTATTTTAACATTTACTTACATATTTCTTGACCAATTTATCCGGGTAATTATTAAGTTTCAAGGCTTCTTTTATGTGTGTCACTTCCTGTCTTAGATTTTCCTTGGTACTACTTAGTTTTTGTGCTCTGTCATTTCACATTTCACAAAATTGATATGATTATGAACAATAAACTGTGTTCGAAACGTCATCCAGTATACAATACTGTTTCACTGTGTGATACATTTAATGATCAAACTAATATGGAATTACTTAATACCACAGTGCCCATGTTTTACACATATATTACTTACTTTTCCAATCATCATTATTATTTCCCTCACACATCGTATTTATAAAGTCTTCACCATGTGTTTTCCTGGCATAATACTGCGTCATATTAGTAGAATAAATTATTTCTGATGATCGACTCATCATTTGTTTCATCAAAAACTGATTAATCACTTTCCATGTAAAACCCATGTCTTCACTTATGAATGCACTAATATTATCACTTTGACCAACAATAGTATTACTTGGCTTCAAAAGCAAAGCAATCTCTGATATTCTTGGTCCAAAATCTGAAATTATAATTATTGAACGAAATGAGTTAATTATGAGCTTTTGTGGTTCGGAATAATTTTTCGGTGTGGTCTTTTGTATCGGACCAGCATTGATTCGAGATCATTGAAAGCCGGAGAATGCTAGACAGCTCTGTTTTCCCATTAGGGACTGTCCTGCAGTGTATGGCGGCAACTCCAGTATGAAGTGAACCTAGGACCTTCAGGTTACAAGATCAAACTTATTAGTCAGCTCAATACTTCGGCTGGAATTCACTGACCCCTTTATTCAAAATTTGTTACCTCGCGATATAGTGTTACATTCAACTAATGCGTCCGATAACCTTCATTTTTATCATGACATGATGGATTCTACTGATTTTGAATTCTCGGTACAGCTACATAACTTCCATCCAGTAGCCATGATTGAATTTTGGTTCAAAAGACTTGATGTTCAATGAGTGTGAACAGGTAACTTGAAGGTTGGTCTTTGGGGTACCCTTCTGAAAGGCTCCAAACTGAAGAAAAATGCCTGCACAGTGCTCCCTTGTTTTCAATAATCGCTAATGGATGCTGGAATCAACACCAGAATATATTTACAAAATGCAGCCATTATTCCGGTTGTGTAAAAACTGCTTACCTGTCCATTTAAATGGCATTCGACTGGTTGTCAAGAAACAGCGTTTCGTGTATGTTTCTTTCCTATAAATGACTGGTGATAAACCACAGTGAATTAATAACTCTTTGGTTGATAGAAAAGATTTCATGAGATTCCTTTCAGGCTTTTTCTCCACAAATGTCTTTGTACAAACATCTACAACAGTGTAAAAGGATATAAACGGGGAAATAAGTCATCTGAGCAATCACTAGTTTAAATCAAGCAATAGAGTGTAGATGTGCTTCCTGGAAACGTAATAATGACAAACTGATCAGTGTAATAACAGTGATATCACATCTCTATTTCATCCTGTTCTCTGCTACCATACCCATGATCTACTCTCTGTCACCCTTTCTTCCTCGCCTAGACATTTGGTTTCCACTTGTTTTCCATCAGAATCCCTGCCTCGAATGTGTATTATCCAGCGGTCTCCTCAGAATGTTTCCTATCCATTTCCATTCTCCTCAAGATATTTGTTTGTCAGTAGGCTCTTCATTGGTTCTTTTCCGGAGTTTCTTGTTGCAGATCCTTTCTGCGTAGCCATCTGAACTTCAGTATAGAGCCAGCGAAGGTAATTGTTGACAAGAGTCTACAATAGCCTCTTAGAAATGCTCTTTAGGATGTATTCCCTAAGTTTCTGACCTATATAAAAGAACTGACTGGTTCATTTTGGCTGTTGAACATCCGAATCTTGTTCCTCATGCTGAGTGAAGCAGATTTTCACACTGATTTCACAGTGACAAGTGTCTGCCTTGCTTTTTAGACTCTGGTTTTGCTATTCTTATCCCTTCTGTCATCTGTAGTTGAAGAGATGCTGCCTAGATAATTGAAGGAAGTGACCTATTTCAAATTTTTCACGTTGTTGGTTGGTTGGTTGTCTTCATCAACTCCATCTTCTCTTCGCTACTTTTTCTAGCAGCCTGTTAGTTTCCATCTATGGGTCTTAGATTTTGCGTGACGACAGACCTAAAACGTCAGCAAACCTCAGATCTTCTAACATCTTCTTATCGGTTCAACCTATTCTCATCGTGTTCCTCATAATCCAGTCCGATTTAATTAGGAATATTATCGATGACGGCAAATGATATACTCTATACGTTCAAATACATATTTAAAATTTTAAAATTGCATGTAGTTTATGAGGAACTGGTGTAATAAGTGATGGTGCCATCTTATTTTGCCAAATCTATTATTATTTTTGCTTTTAATGACTCCGCATTTTTTAGGGGCTTACATGTTTTCTGACCTAAGGTTTTTCAAGAACGCCAGGTGTTTTCTTCAAAATGTTTCTAGCCCGCGATAAGCAGATATTCGATAGTGAATTAGTATATTATAGGATACCGTTTTATCTTTTTAAACGGACAATTCCTCTTTCTAATTCGAACTATTATTCCCTAAACGTTTAGTCTTGCCAATCAGGATTAACTTACAAAACGTAAAAACGAATTAGGAAGGTTCAATTTCATCTAATTCCATTCTGTTTCATTTGTAACAAATTCAGCGGCACTGAAGATTGCTTCCTCGAAGTTTGAATGCCTGTTACGAATTTCTAAACCAGTTCATTCCTTCTGACCATCTGATCTTCAGTATGGAGCCAGTAAATTTGGCTTTTGATGAACTATTACAGCAACCTGTTTCAAGTGGTTTAGATGACCCTCCAAGTCTCTGAACCATATCGAAGAAATGACTTGACATTAGTGCTGAAAATCTGAATCGTCTTCTTTGTGCTGTGTGAAGCAGTTTTCCACAGGGGTTTCAGGTTTACGAAGGTCTGCCTTGCCTCTCCGATTCTAATTTCAACTTTCATGTCCATCGATTAGGGAACCATTGGAAAACCTGGAAGTACTGGATAGCTGTTTTACAAGCCAAGTTTGGGACTCTTCATCAATGCGCAACCAGCGGGGTTCGAACCCAGAACCTTCTGATTACAAGGAGAGCTCGTAGACCAGAGAACTGGTGAAGAGTCCCAAACTAGGCTGACAAAACAACTGTCCAGTACTCCCAGTTAGTTCTCTAACCGATGTCAGCTCATGATGAAATCCTTCAATCAATCAGTCAATTCCTTATAAACCAATGCTTGAAAATCTGTATCCATGCTAACGGATAAGTGAGGGGTGATATTTATTTTTAGATTTCTCCGGCTTGTAGTGCTTAATGCTTGTTGTTGCTTATGTTGGTAGACGGATATTTTCATTGTCCCTTTATCCTTTATGTTCACTTAAATATCTATCCTCACTCCCCGCTTACTTGTTTCGCCTGTAAATCCTCAAGTTTACGTGATATTAGACATAAACCGTTCACAAACTTCAAATTTTCTAGAGTCTTCTTGTCTCCGATTTATTCCTATCTTGTCTCTCCTCAAGCACAGTGTGGTGCATAATCCAATCCACCACAATTAGTAGTCAGCCTTCTTTTGCTTCCGTCTTCAATTTTAAGACTGATAAGTTTTCCGCCATTGATCACTTGTCATACGACATTATCTGGCAGCTGTAGAATGAGATTGGTAAAGTTTTGCGGTCCCCTGCAAGGTTGTAGCAGTTTCCACATTGCGTCACTTTCAACTCTGTGGAATACTTCCTCAAGATCAATGGGGATGAAGTAGACGTTTGACTAGCATTCTACACTTCGTTTGATGACAATGCCTACCGTGCGAATTTGACCTGCACATGGTCTGCTTTTCCTGAATTCACCTTTTTCCGGACTGAAGGATATACATGTTTTATGTGATTTTACATCTAGTTTATATTCCATAGCAATTTTAAATAGATGTTTTCTTCAGATAACATACATCGCTCATTTTTATGCTTTACTTACGTGTTAATATGACAAAGCGACTGATTTTCCATTATAAGTAAGCTGTCTGGACACGATATTCTTATCAGCTGTAGGTTTACAGCTTTATCGCTCTGGGTGTTCCGTTTCAGACTCACTTCTAAGGAATCTATAAATTAAGCCTGTTAGTTGGTTTCACTTGTCTTGAAGAAACCGTAAGTTCTCCTTAAGTTTGGTTGAATTATTACGGTATGTTGTAACAAGTCGAGTTAATCGTCAGCCTAATAGTCGCATGCTTTAAGTTACTAATTCCAGGATTGCGGTTTGTGCTTAAATTTCATTCTCTGATTCTGGTATTTTACCCCATTATCATTACAGAAATAACAGAATTAACTTACCAAAGATAAACGGATCCCATGGAGCTGTGCAACCATAAACTTTAACCGTAAAATCAAAGTATTTTGATGTGTCGTCAAGTTCAGTTACAATGAAACGTAAACCTCTTGTGCTAATTAGAGGTCCTAACTTGGCGTCTTCTATTCTGATATCGGTTTTGTTACCATTCACCTGAAAATGTAATATTTATTTGGAAAGTGTTAGTAAGCATGTATAGGAAATATAAAAGGCTTTTTAAATATTATGTGAATGAGCATGCCGCATGTTCAGCTCTATCATCTGTTCTGTTTGACAAAATTCTTTTCATCTTGTTGAAGTACTTTTTTAGCGGTTCTTATAATTTAAAATTAGGGTTACCTTGAACTGTCTCACTGAACAAAAAACTTTCGAACCAAAATATTCATTTATTTTTATCATTACCGTAGAATCAAATTAAATTATCACTTGTTTTAAACACTTCGTGCCAATAGAAGTTTCGTACTCCAAATTCCAGTGGTTTAACAGTGTTTCAGATGTTAAGAACTATTATTTGGTTTCTAGATCTGGTAAGCATTTAGAAGTCAGATGGGAAATAAATAAAGTGTCTAATGTGACGTATAGTCGAATACAGAATTATAACTTCACACTAATCTTAAATATTTGGATTCAATGAAAGTGACAAAGGAGGAATTCTAATGTTACTGTTTGATTCCATTGGATTCCATTTCAAATGTGAAAAAAACTGACGATCAGTGTGTTTATTATTCCAAAGTGGTGATGATACTCATGGCCATCGAAAGTATAGTGTAGATGTTTGGCCTTATACATAAGAATAGAATACTGACCAACCATTGATGTGGCTTTGGTTCAATTAACAGCTCACGCACTCTCAAACCTCACTTATCTGGCAGTAAACCCATCGAAGTAGGAGAGTTCTGGGTGGTGCTAGCAACCCAGTCGTGAGAAATGAACACCACTGACACTGAAGCCATAAAGCTGAAGTTCGAAACTCTATGTTCCCTTTAGGAACGCAAAGGAATAGACAGAGAATTCATTCTGATGATAATGATGCTCGGCAGCTATTGTTTGCACAACTCAGATGCCTGATGTTCAATTGAGAATTCGTTACTAGAGGAGTTTATCAAATAATCGTCGATGACGTTAGCTGGTGGTTACGCTAAAATCACACCTTGGTGGAAATTGGTATTCAGTAGTACATGGATTACATTCCAGTGTTTGGTGGGTTTTCGAGCTTGCCTTGTAGCTTGAAGGTCCTGGTTCTGAAAACTTGGTGGGTGAGCGCTACTGAGGAGTCCGAAAATAGGAGGAAGCTGACGTTCAATACTCCATGGTTTTCAGTGATTCCTTAACTAGTATCACTTAGTGAACAAACCTGGAATAAACCAATGACTAACAAACTAATTCTTGAAAACAAGAAATTGCTAATCACAGCTAAATGTTTAGCGATAACTGATGATTGTTCGTCGTAGGAATCCGTCTCGAAGGATTTCCGAATAACCTCAGTTATAAATTTAATACGAAAAACACATCGATAAAGTATGAAAAATTCTCTTGCGATGTAGTTACTAGCAAACAAGTCAGAAAAATTAGCTCTTTTCATAACGTCACTTATATATTGAAGAGATTTCACTTCACTTGAAAGCTGTAGAGTTATTTGTGGGTCAACTTATACAGTGTCGATCGACAATAAAGGTGGGAGGTTACGGTCATTTAGTAACAAAACAAATCTCAATGTGTGAGAATTAAAAGTCTGTGGAGAATAGTGAATACTCTTATGCAATTAAGAGAAATGACAATAGGCGCATAGGTGTAAAGAAGATGAGGCGCAGAGGTGCAGCAAAGAACATTCCTTGAATTGTTCTCGACAGTCAACTTCGGGTGGATTCATTGATTGAATCTCTCTTGAATTGCAGACCTACAGTTAGTCGTTTCTCCTGCGAATCCAGGTTTCATGGAGTACCGGATTTTCTCTTTAGGTGTTTGTCGTTGAAGGTTACCCTTAATCTATGTAGAATTTGATTTTATTGTTAATTTACTAACTGGATGCAATACTGTAGTAAAATGCTGAGAATTCCATTCTCTATCGCAAGTACTGTTTTTCAATAAAGCTATTATTATCATTATTATTATCAAAGGAGTGACTGCACTAAACTAAACGGCTTTTTATCAGAAATTAGCCAATGATGCAAGGAAAATGGTCTCACCTTAAACCCCTCCAAATGCCAAACAGTTAATTTCACCTTTGAGCACAAATCTGACCTAAATAAACTGGTTAGCACTCATGAGGTGTGCAACATTGATGGCATTGAAATAGAAACCAAGTCGGTAATTAGATACCTAGGCGTCATTGTATCTGCTGATTTTTTCTGGTCATCTCATATCTTAATAATTTCTACATCAAGAAGTTAAGACATTCTGGTATAACCCAACCCTTACTCCTACAATTCGTTAACTCCCGTATTCTGCCTATTATTCTCCCTTGTTGACCCTTAGTTTTTCCTGGACTACTGAAGAAAGACTATACCTTGTTACGCAGGATGTTAAAGGTTGTCAGCAGGGTAAGCTATGTGTCAGTTAACCAGCTTGTTAATTAATATTCTGGTTGACAGGCACTTGGACTCATGTGAAAAATGGGAAAAATCCATTTTATCTAACTCACAACACCCTCTTCACTTACAACTCTTACCTTGTATCTCTTCAGGAAAAACCAGAAGCCTATATAGAAAACTATATGCTCGCACTAGTAAGTGCAAAAACTCAACCATACCCTAATTAGCTCATGTTCTGTGCGATAAATAAATCATTAGGCGTGAAATCTTTAACTTACTAAATAGTCAGTAGAACAACTGGATCACATCTTTCCAACTCATATCATATATAGGTACAACGTTTTTTCTTTCTTTATTTTCCTTTCCTCTCTCTTTTTTCTGTTATGTGCCGCTTTATTTCTTCCTTCTGCTTACTCCAGTAAATATGCTAAGACCTACTTTTCTAGCACCTTCAAACACTCTGTTCAATTTTGGCTTTGCTACCGACATGCTAATTTGTTGTTGTCAAAACTAACTGAGATTACCCTTAATCTATGTAGAAATTTTATTTTATTGTTAATTTACTAACTGGATGCAATACTGTAGTAAAATGCTGAGAATTCCATTCTCTATCGCAAGTACTGTTTTGCAATAAAGCTATTATTATCATTATTATTATCAAAGGAGGATTTCTTACTCGATATATCTTTAGTACACATACGGTAGATTTTTTAACACATGAGAGGTGATGAAATTTCTGTTTCTGTTTATTGAGACAAAACTGCGATTGTTTGTTAGATGTTCATTTCAGAATTGAACACTTTCTTAGGAAGTGGTTTATGCCACCTGCTTCACCACAGTGGCTTTAGTGTAAATTTAGTTTTACCGAATTGCAGTAGAGTAAAATTTGTGAAGTCATTTCATCAGTTTGTAATTGATTTTCAACCTTTTTCTCCCTTGTTTCCTAATAATTGTTTACCAACCTGTTATTCACCACTTGGCTAATTAGTTGTCAACCACCTCGATTGCATGAGATTATTCCATATTTTCCACACACTGTTATTCCATATTCACTGCGATTCCTTTTTTCACTAAATTACAATGACCTCTGACCTGTATTGTCAATCACTTTTACATATGTGTACCCCTGAGTAACTGTTTAGGTGTAGATGGATTTCCGAAAAGTGATCTGTCTTCTTTCTGTTTTCGGGTATTGATATAATCATGATTTACAAACAAGGTACCCAATTCTTAAGGGGACAATTGAAATTAAAGCTGTTACTTGCATGTAAAACATCGATCATTGACAAACGTTCTCTTTTATAAGTTCCGACTAGCCCTCATCACATTAACAAATTCGTTCTTATCCACTTATCGCATTCCGGACAACGCTAAGTAATGGTGATTATCACAGACAATATTTCTCATTAGTAATGAAGCATCTCAGCAAATTTACAACTTTTTCATTTTAAGAATTTATACTCAAAATCATTCTAAATGGTCAGTATTAGCATTATTCCCTAGGTTCTGAGGGGAACATATTGTTCAATACGAAATCTCTATCTCTCCCTGTTCTATACAGTCTTATCAACTGTCTCCATAACTGCCGTAAATTTTCATCTCTTCCTCACATGATGTCCTCCACGTCACTCTCGCATCCTAGCCTAACCCGAGGTTTCCTGTTTGGGTCCACTTGAGGCAATGGCTGAATCGTGCGATGTCACCCAGTGGTCTCCCCAGCGTGCGTCCGATGCATCGCCATTTTCTTCAACCTATTTCTGTATTAATTGGTTATTTAACAGAGTTTATCGTTGCTAAATCTTTCTGGTTGATCATGTGATCCAGAGTTTGGAGCTGGTGAAGGCAACTGTTGATTTAGGTCTACAGTAGCCTCTTCCAAGTGCTTTATGTGACACAAAAGTGACGTTTCTGACCCACACATGACAAGTTATTTAATATTGGTGTTGAAAACCATAACCCTCGCTGTTCCTTATTCTGAGTTCGGAATATTTCCAAATTGATTTCAGAGAGATGAATATGTACCTTACCTTCTCAGTGCTGCATGGCTTTGACCTATTCATCCGTACCGCCTGCAGTTGAAATGATGCTGACTGTATAAGTGGGGGAAGTGACTTCTTTCAGATTCCTTCTGTTATTAGCGACTGGTGCTTGTTGTTGGTTGGTCGGTTGTCCTCATCACCTCCGTCGACTGGAAGTTATTCTTCTTCTGTCAGATTGTTGGTTTTCACCAACAAATTTACGAATTTATGTGATACTGGACATAAATCCTCTAAGAAGTCCACATCTTCAAGAGTCCTATTATCACTCCAACGTATTCTTATCTTCGCTCTCCACATTGACCGTGTCATGCATAATTCAGCTTATAACAATTAGGAATATAATCGGTAATGGCAGTCTTAATTGTCTTACTCATGTCTTCATTTCGGAGGTTTGTACTGACAATCAGTGTTAATTGTCATTAGTCAAAGACAGCTGATCTTTTCATGTTCTGCACACTCAATGGCCAGGTCTAACAGCCATAAAGGAGGACGGAGCGGACTGCTGGGCAGTACACAGGCCCTTTGGTCGATACCCAGCAGGATATCACGTCTACGACAGAGACAAGGTTAACTGTCATTTGCAAAACTAGCCTTCTTTATCCTTGCTGGGATTTCGTCAGCAATGAACCTGTTGGGGCTGATGTAACTTCCTAAATAAGTGAAGTGGTCAACCAACAACTTCACTCCTTATTTCTTAGCTAGGAGTCAGTGTGGTCCAGTCTTGTAGCATCATCTTACATTTGACAGTAGGAGCGAAACGCATGCCAAACATTCGAAGATTGGTGCTGCTCAAGGTGTCCAGAAGACTCTGCTCTACTTTGTCAGTTTTTCCACCTAGGGGGCTCAACCCTATCAGCTGAATATTCTAAGTCAACGAGTATAGGAACTCAACGATACCATATTTGGCCCGTGTTCTAAGTGACAGAGACAATGTTAAGCATGAAACCTATGACTTGCTTTGTTGTTAATAACA